CCTGCCCCATCATCTGGGGTGCCCTCCCAGCGTGGCTTCATGTCTGCGAGGCGCTGCATGGGATTTGCAAAGCAGCTGGGTCCTTTGGAGGAGAAAGCTGGCATAAATAGGAAAAGCAACTGCTTGTGATGATCTTTTATTACTAGCAGGAAAGCAGATCCTAGGGGGTTTGATCCACTTCAGCGCTGCCTGGGAGTGATGCAAATTCAAGGGCAGAGCAAGGTTGCAATCACAGGCAGTGCTTGGTCTCCCAGCCAAGGCTGCACAACCGTCTCCGTCAGCAGCAGTGGTCGGAGAAGGGCTCGGCTCAGCTGCTCTGCCCCGGCGTGAGCGCATCACGCTCGGCTTCCCCCGGAGCCTCGGCTCGTGCGGCGCCAGGGCTGGGCTGGATGTGGCTTCGATGGGAATATTCGGCTTGCGGGGAGAGTGGGGAGGCTCTTGGCAGCGAGACCCAGAACATGGCGTTTTGCTCCTTTGATGGCCAGATGGAAACAGATGAGGAAGAAGGGGAGGGAGAAAAAAAGCCCCAAACTTTCACATGTAAAAATTAACTGGAACAGGATGGTCATCAGCGCGGGGTGGTGGTTGGCATCTGCGCTGGCTGGATGGGCGTCCCTCCATCGTTGGGCCACGATGCCACAGCTCATCCCACCGCCCCATCCCGCGGCTCCGCTCCCGGGGAAGGGGCAAAGCGAGGCAGAAAAGCACCGCGGCTCACACCCGGTCTCACCAGCAACACCACTGGCCAGACCCCATCCACCACCCCGAGTCCCTTCTGCCCCCCGCTCGAGGAGGGGTGGAGGGGGTGTGCTTTGGTGGGGAACATCTTTTAGTTCTTAAAAAGTTCAGCAAGTTCCAGGAACATTATGTCACTTTGACAAGGAAATGAATTGCGAGGCCATCAATCAAAGCTGCAGGCGCGCAGATCAAAGGACCCCGCAGCGCTCGAGTTCCCTTTTACAGCCAGAGCCCTGCACGATCCCCCTCGCCCATATTCCCTGCGGTTGCTGCAGCAACAGCACGCTACAGCGGATGCTTCGCATTTTTATTCGCACCACACATGTTTCCACTCTAACACTGCAATAACTAGAAAAACCTGTGAAACCAAAGCTGCTTCCCCAGCCTCCAGGGGCAGCGGCTATTCCTGGCTCCCTTTAATGTTCTCAATTTATTAGCGTTATCCTCCTTTTTTTCACGCAGGATAAAATAGAGATTATTTTTGTCCTCTCTAACAAAGAAAAGGAGCTTGCAAAAAAAAAAAAAACCAAACCCTCTGCATCGAGGCTCAGCCTCTGATTTTGTGCCCAGAATTATTTGCAGGCATAATCAGGCCCTCAGCCATCAAAGCGATGCTATTGACAGCACCGGGCTCACACATGGACCGTGTTAGCCCTGCGCAGCCCCAGCTCTTCGCAGCAGCGGGCAGGTTTGCAGCCCCATTTCACCAGCCTGCAAACCGAGGGTGGAGCTGGGGGTGGCACTTTCTCAGATTCCCTGGCCCAAACCAGCGTTTGCACGCAGACCGTGATGTATGTCGTGTCCCAGCCCCACTCTGCCCACCAAGGGCAAGTCGTCGCATCTGTAGAGGTTGTTCAGTTGAGCCCAGCGCTCTCAGTCACTCCTCTTGCGCTGTTATAGCAGATGAAGCCCTGGTTTATGCCACACAACACAAGAAAAATCACAGCTTCAACCCCGCAGAACCCCAGGATGCAGAAACCTCCTGTCCGCCTTCCTTACAGCTGTGGTGGTGGAGCATCAGCTCCATACCGAGCTCTTCTCCAGCGTGCGTTACAAAGACCCCATCTACCCCGTGAGACCTGCTCCCGTCACAGCCACCAGTGTGTCCGACAAGGTCGGGGCAGATCCCTGTGCTCTAGATCCAACTCAGAAAAGCCAAAAGGTGTGACATCACCATGAATAAGAAGCAGATTGCTAAAATAAATGTCGTCTTTTTTTTTTTTTTTTTTTAAGACATTAAGTGGTTCCTCTGAGCTCCCATGGGGTGTCCTGAGTGGGACAGAGCTGGACCTGGAGGCATGGCAGTGCCACATTGTCCTTCAGACCGTGCAGAGAGCAACCGCCTCTTGCTCTGGCGGACCATCCCTGCAGACCTGTGGCAGACGGGGAGAGGCCAGGATGTCCCAGGACAACAGTCTGACGTTGGTGTGCGCCAGTGAGTTGTGCTGAGAGGAAGTGAGTAAGCATTTGTGCCAAAGCTCGGCTCTCCTGGGACTGAGAGGGAAGCCTGGTCCCCCATGGGGACAGCACGGAGTGGAGCTGGGATCACCAGGGGTTTTGGAGACCTGCTTACGGGGAAGAGACTGAAAGGGCTTCGCTTGTTTTGCAGCCAAGCAGATGGCAGAGAGGGGGTCAGACGCATCCAGGACTGAAGGCTGGTGAAGAGCATCTACAGGCAGTGTGAGGCTCGGAGACAGAAATAGGCTCAGGCTGCCCAAGATGTGCCTTCAGCCCGCCAAAGGCTGCGGTTTTGAGGGGACACCTCAACCCTTTTCTAAACAAACCTTGGCTCCCGCCTCGACCCCACAAAAGAGCTCCCATTTGCGGTCCTACAGCCCCGCTGAAGTTGTCGGTGTGCCTCAGCCCTGTTTTTCCAGGTGATGGACTCCCTGCTCCCTCGCTCTTTGCCCACGTGTGGTTTGGTAGTGTCCTTGCTTTCTTTTTTCCACCTTTCCTTTCTTTCCAAAGTGCTAACTGGCCCTGCAGAAGCCTTGCAAACCATCTTGCAGGCTCAGCTCTGCTGAGGACACCCCAGCGCTGGGGACATTTCCTACCTAAACCAAAGAAAAGCTGCTCAGGAAAGTTGGATGTGATAGTGAGAGGGCGGAGGAGGACCAGGAGGAGAGGTGGGCAGAGGGGCTGGGACATGGTGGGAATTCAAATCTTCCATCTGGTGGCTTCTCAAGTGAGCTAGGCTCTTTTTTTCCCTCTGCATATTTAAGGTCTGAAATTTTCACTGATCTGTCAAAGTGAGCGCTATAAAACCCCCAGCTAGCTGGAAAAGCAAAGTTATTGAAACCAGTTTGGTGACTCATGACCTTTCCATGAAAAGTTTATATTAATATTCCTCCAAAAAACACTCACTGAAAGAACAAATTGAAATGTTTAAGGGAAAAATACTCTTGCCACAAAACATCCAAATCTGGGTAAAAAAAAGCCTGCTCGAGCAGTTCGGGGTGCTTAGCTGATCCTTCCCGCAGATCAAAGCTCATTGTATTTCTCCTTTTGCTCAAGGATATCAGCAACAATACCAAACTTCACTTCCTTCGCCCAAAACCATTTGCCAGTGAAATTAAATTAAACTTTTTTTTTTTTTTAAAAAGGAAAACAATAAAAAAAAATTAATAAAAATATAAAACCCAGCACAAGCCCGTGCCCCAGCTGGTGTTAATTGGCAGCTCCCCAGCCCTCGGCAGAGCTCAGCCAGCTCCTCCAAGCGCGGGATCAGAGGACCCTGGATCCTGCCTAAATCCTGCCCTCTCTGGGGTATTTTTTCCTCGCCCTTTGTTTTCTCTCGCTTTCCCAGGCCCCTGTGATCTATTGTCTTTCCGCATTATGAACATCTGATATTAGTCGCTGTCTTGACAACGCTCGCGTGTGAGTAATGCATTGAGCCCATGCCCTGCCGGCACCGCGGGCTTCGGTGAGGAGGAAGGAGCAAAGTCACCAGGCTCCATCCCAGCAGGTCTGGGTATCAACCTGTTTCTGAGCATCTTTTGCTCCTTTAAGCAATATCAGGCATTTTTCAAACATTGGCTCTCTGCTAGCTCCCATCTGTGGCTACTGCCATCCCTGACAAGTTGACACGAGCACAGGGAGGACGGGGCTGAGCCAAAGCCTTCTCATATCCAAAATCATCGTCCTGCGTCGCTCAGGTCTCCCCGGGACAGGGGCCGAGGTGGCTCTTTGAGGTTGCCATTTCACTTGGGCCCCCACCCAGCACGAAGGACATTCGTGAGAAACCCATGGAAGAATGTGAAAACACACATTTCCTTAAAATAGGGAAAAGCATCTGTACGGTGCCTGCATCTTGAGTGAAAAAGCAGCATCCGGGTGGGTGCAATTAGGAAGGCAAAGGGGTTGGAAAGGGTTTTGCTGCGAGCGCTGGTGGACAATGGGGTGCGTGTCTGGTCAGCAAGGCTACAGATGCTTGGCAGGTCTACGGTGCATGTTTTTAAGAAATACCTTGTAGCTGAGCTTGAACTGAGGTTTTTCTACTGGAAACGGGTGTAGCTTGCTTGAGTAAAGCTGGCCAAGTCGCTTGTACCTCAAAGAGCAGAGAGGACATCCTCCTCCTCCTCTGCAGGCTGTAGGGAGTGGGTCAGAAGTTCTTGAACAGAGGTTCAAGAGAAGACTGCAGTACAACAGTACAGGTTATTCAGGATGAAGATAATGCAGACAAGATGAGAATATTAATTTGTTATATGCAGCAAGACAAAAAAAAAAAAAAAAAAAAAAAGTCGTTTCCTTTTAAAGGACTTTCTCCCGCAGCCTCCTGGTCATGCTCAGCCTGAGTTGCCGCATCCCCATCCCTGCCAGTCCGGGGGCATTTGGGGATCCCACTGCAGCACGGCGCAGGCTCATTGGTGTAGGAGAACTCTGTAGTACGTTATGTATTTCTGCTACTAAAATATATTCTATATGGAAACTTGTTATGTGTTGTAAAGGAGCTAATTTAAAAAATATCTGTACAGATACAGGCATATGTCAACTCAACAATTTATGTTTTATTGATATTATTTTAATTATTTTGATTAATTACTGACACTTTTTTAAACTATATTGTTCCCGTAATACCCCTTTGTGCTCTCATTATAAGGCAGAACAACAAAGCAAGGTTTTAGCACAGGTTATGGAGCTCTGCTGGGGACGAACCCCAATATCCCAAGGAGCACCATGCCAGGACCTCAGTGTCCCTCCAGAGAGACTCAGGGTGAGAGCTCCCGATGAGCAGGAGCAAGGAGCAATGCCAGGAGAGCGCGATGAGCAGAGACGGCTTGGACAGGGTCAACAGACGCTGGAGAAGAAACACCTTGGAGAGGCAGAGAGGGCACAGGCAGGAGATGGGAAGGTTACAGGGGTTCCCAAAGGTGTAGGACTTTTTTGGGAGTGGGTGGCTGGGCATGGGAGGATGGTGGGTCACCGGTGGACTCCAGTTTCATGTGTTGATCCTACTGGTGTGACAGCAGAGGGTTGAAAACCATCCAATGTAAGGAGGGACCTGGGCAGAATATTTTATGCTGTTGTAGTCTGAATCTGGACCTCCAAACTGGCTGAAAGAGGATGCGGCTCTCCCAGTATTTCTGCAGGGAGGAGAAAGTGGGTTTATTTGTAGGCAAGCCCAGGAGTGGTGTAAGGAAGCAATACTGCTTATCATGCTTGATTTCCTGGGGAAATCAGGGGCGGAACTGGCCGTGGATCCAGCCAGGAACAGTGTCTGGACCTGTTCTACCCTCTCTATCTGCAATAGCTGCCCTATTTATTTGAGAGGAATGTGATGGTGGATGAGTATTGGCTTCCATCTGTATAGTAAGGGCTATTGTAGACTGCCAGAAATGTAGACAGAGGAAGAGGGAGGGAGGGAGGGATGGGTGGGTGGGTGGATGGATGGATGGATGGATGGATGATGACTGGGCAGGTGGATGAATGGATGCAAACTCAAGTTCATTTTGAATTATGCCATTTCTCAGGAGCAGTATGGCTGCCTATCACTGTTGCTTCTTCCTTTGGGCTCAGAGAATACCCTGGATTGCTCATTGAAGCATCCATTGTTCCACATTTCCACTCGAATCTCTCATAGATAAAAGTCTCCTATTCCAGACTGGACAAATGAATATTTCTTGCTGGCTTTTCCAGGGTCAACTGGGCTTAAAAAAGAAAGAAAAGACTAAAAACCAAAAAAGCTGCCCCTGAACTCCATGGCTGGTGCTCACATTAGCATAGGCAATGTCCCCTGACATCCGGGCAGCAGGCAGGAGCATCTGTGCCGGAGGGCTTGGGGGTGTCGGTGGAGGAGGGAGGGAGGAAATCTGGAACCCATAAGCTCCACTGATGTTTGCATTACCTTGCACGGCTGCATTGGTCTGTGCCTGGTCCGCCCACGGCCCTCCTCGCCCTATCAGCAAGAGCCATTCCCCAAAGTTATTCGAACGCCTTCCTCCCTGTAGCCCAAAGGAAAAACCAACCCAGCTCCTTGGAGGGCTCCGCAAGGCTTGGGAAGTTTGGGGAGGCT